CTATCACTCATCAGCAATGCCATTGTCTATAGGTACAACCCTATTGCCTTTACAGTTCGTAGCTTGGTTACTCCAGCAATAACAAATTAAACATCAAGATAATTTTTATAGTCTTGTTAGTTTAAACTCCTATGACATTATTTTTCAAAGGTCATGCTTTGAAAACATCACGTGGTTGTCAGTACTTGGATAGGAGACTAACATGGGAAAGCTAGGTTGCTGCCGGAAGTAGGGTTAGAGAGATCAGCAGGGGGTGCTCAATCTGCGTTCTGTTTGGGTCCTAACGCCCCAGTATATTGATGGGGACACCATACTGCTCAGTGAGCGCCATCTATCAGATGAGACGTTGACTCTCTGTGATCATAAAAAATCCCAGGGTGTACTTCGAAAAAGAGTAGGGGTTTACCCCAGCATCCTGGTCAAATTTTCCCACTGGCCACTATTCATCATGAACTCCTAACCATCCCCATATCATAATAGACTTCATCACTCGTTCTCCTCTCCACCAATTAGCTGTTGTGTGTACGGTCTGGTGCCAGATGGATGCTGCAGACGTGGTGTAATGTAATGTAATGTAATGTAATGTAATGTAATGTGTATTTATATAGGGCATTTATTGTGTATGGCTATACAACCAAAGCGCTTCACAATCATGAGGGGGGGTCTCTCCACAGCACCACCAGTGTGCAGCATCCACTTGGATGATGCGACGGCTGCCACAGGACAACAGCGCCAGTGCGCTCACCACACACCAGCTATTGGTGGAGAGGAGAGACAGTGATAGAGCCAAATCGGTGGAAGTGGATGATTGGGAGGCCCTGATCGTAAGGGCCGATGGACACCAGGGTTACGCCCCTGCTCTTTCACGAGAAGTGCCATGGGATTTTTAATGACCACAGAGAGCCAGGACCTCGGTTTAATGTCTCATCCGAAAGACGGCGCCCACTGACAGTGTAGTGTCCCCTTCACTTTTACTGGGGCATTAGGACTCACACAGACCACAGGTTGAGCACCCACTGCTGGCCTCATTAACACCACTTCCAACAGCAACCTAGTGTTCCCAAGTGGTCTCCCATCCAGGTACTGACCAGGCTCAGCCCTGCTTATCTTCAGTGAGTAACCGGTCTTGGGCTGCAGGGTGACATGGCTGTGGCAAGGAGTGATAAGGAGTTTCCCCCCAAAAATGAATAAAGGGCTCAATAAATGTAAGGAATTATTATTATTTTTATTATTTTTATTATTATTATTATTATTATTATGTCAACTATTACAAAATGTTATGTCTAAAACACACAAGCTCACTCAATGCTTGTGTCTATGAATTTGAAAACCTATGACTATGAAGATAAAACCTTGGAAGGAAATTATGTATACACATGGTATACTGTGCCATGTATGTATGCTCCCAAAAGACAACTCAAGACTACAATAGAGGCATTTGAAAAGATTCAAAAACAGTATTTGTTGTTTTTAGAGTGGACGTTCATGCTCAAACAGCAATATTACACTCTACAGCAATGGGAAAGTGTAAAAAGCATTACAACCCTTCAACATTCTGACTCAATCATTTAGTGCAAGATGTCTTTCCCCTGAGACGAAGTGGGAAACTTTGCAAATGCAACATTTTTTGGTTTCTTATCTCACACACAACAACGGCAATGTACTCATAACCAAACTATCAATCACTTGCCACCCTTAACATGTCACCCGTTCTAAAGAGTGGTAAATAAGAAAGGAGGACCAACATTTTAAGGATAAGGAGAATGGAGCACTAGAAAAGAAAAAGAGACTATTGTGTTCCTCAGGGACAACCATAAACCAGCCTCCCTTGTTGTTCGGCTGACAGGCAGATAGAGGGTTCGTAAAATCCCAGCAGAGCACTGCTAAGATCGAGAACACGCTTTTCCCTGCCTTTAATGTTACAGCTTTTCATTTGCAGGCTGTAAAAAAAAAAAAAAAAACCCAGGCAGTCTCCACCGGTGTGCCTCATGAGAGCACTTCTTCCTCTATCAATAGTCAGGATGTGCATGTCAGAGCTGGAACATTCTTCTCTGGAGGATCCGATCAGAGTTGCGTGAGGTAGGGCTGCGGGCAAAGGATCAAAATGAGCTGAGCTGAAACCTGCTTGCCTACCGCAGAATTTACTGGTGGTCCATGCGGCCAGGAGCTTTCTATGTCTTGGCTAGTGGGGGGGAAATGGGGACAGACGGACTTCCACATGCAAACCGAAAAGTAAGCATGCACAGGCCTGCAGAAGTTCCTGCCGGTAGTTATTTGTCAAGGTGAACTGCACTTCTATTGATTCAAGCTGCAGTTGCTGGTTTTAATAAGAGCCAACTCGTTTTTGCAAGACGTTGCCCCCTGGAAGTCCTGCCCCAGTTCTGAAGTGTCAGAATTGATTTCGTGCAGCGAGAGTCAAAGGAAGTGAATTAGGTTTCCAAAAGTTCTGAATCCAAGTCAAGGCCGTGGTCTTTTCAAAATAGTGTGTGATAAAAAAAAAAAACACCATTCTTTTCCTACAGAATCACATGGCTTCGAGCGAAATGCAGTACTACACTGAGAATTTCTCACATCTTTTTCTCTTCGACCCAACTGTGTTTTCTAATTGCATATGGTAGCTACCTTTCATCAGCTCTGTGTAACAATAAACAAAGGGAAGGAAAGAGAGTACACTCTGCATTTCATCCTCGCCGCACAAGGCCAGGGATCATAACAGAGCTGCAGAGACTGACAGCTGCACTGAATCAGCATGCGATAGCGACAAGCTTTCTTTCTCCCATAACACACACACACACACCTACATGCCCACCTCGGCGACAGGGTCATGCAACCAAATTACTGCATTTCTCAGTTTCAGCACGTAAGGCTCAGCAAACACAGACCACTGAGGCCGTCTGGCTCTAAATTACATATATTAAAGCCTTACTAAGCGTCTAAGGGTCTCATCAGCTCTGCTACACAGTTTTGGTCTGTTTTCCCTTTAGGCGCTGAATTAAACAGAGGTAGTGAAAGTTTTGTGTTATTAGCTTAATACAGTGTTTTCAAGGCGTTTCCACTGTTTTGATATATCTCATGCTTCTTAGTTTGAGGTGTATTACATATGATTGATCGAGTAACATTACAAATATTTATAACTGTCAATATGGAGTGACTCACGGCTACAAACCACAACTGTCTAGAAGTTTTGCATTAACATAAACGGCTCTTATTTTCTGATCAAAATCATGAGCATTTTAGAGAACTCACCTTAAAATAAATCTGAAATTTCCTGACTGTTTTAACCTATATGTTATAATAATAGTATATTAGAAATGTTATTAGCTTCAATATCATTGTGTATGCCTTTAATAGCCATTATTAGAACAACATTAGATAATTTCCCCCAGTACTTACTTTTTACATACAGTAGCTGTAAAGCGCTCCTTCTATTTTTGAGTGTAATAGTAGTTGTATTTTACATTTAGTTTTTCTGCTGTGTTGGGCAAGCTACTTGATAATTATAGTGAGCTAAGCTACTAGCTGCTCTACTTAAAATGTAGCTTAACTACACTAAAAGCTACCCTTTAGTAAATGTAGTAAGCTAAGCTAAAAACTATTTATCAAAAGTAGCTTTGGTACATTTAAGCTATCTTTTTATTGCAATAAAAAATACATTTAAGCTACTTTTGCTATTTTTATTTAGAAATTAAAGCAACTAAAAGCCAAGTCAAATCAATAAAACTGTCAATGAAACAAATGAGGCATATTTGTTCATTTCAGTCACTTACTACACAAATATGCGGTACCGAACAGAAACAAACTAGTATATAACAGGTGTTACACATTTAAAAAATACTATAGCAATTTATAGTAAAGAGAAATATTTTGGAATAAGCATTATATTGTTTATGCATTTACACCTCATCATTAATGAATTACTCAACATAGTATCATTAGTAATTATCATGAACTAATAGTAATAACCATAGTATACTTTAGTCTTTACTACAGTATATATATATATATATATATATAGCTGATAAATATGATATATAGCTGATAAATATGATATATAGAATGGCATATATATATATATAGCATGATAGGTCTTATTTATAAATAAACTCCTCTTCTTTCCATCAAGCAAATTTCTTGTGTTATCCTAATTGGTTTTCGACGTCACCGACCAGAGTGAGAGGTGGCAATAATGCACCAAAAAGTTTGTTGTTGACCACCATAAAAAAGGTAGAAGAAGAAATCAGCATTCTTGCCATCATAGGGATTCACTTTCACCGACTAGACACTGGCCTCACAGCTCCGTGAATATCGGTGCCACGATCAGTAAACGTAGCTTGTGTAGACGCAACTGCACTATTTGACTACTTGACAGTAGCTTTGCTACTGAAAAGCTAAATTTGATTTATGAAGTAGCGATGCTATGGCCATGCTACTGCGAAATGTAGTAATAGTTGTAGCGACGCTACTGCCCAACACTGCTTTTCTGGAGTATTTATTTTTTTTTAAACGCATCTTTGAAGTGGTCATTTTGAAGCCAAAGCTCATAAAATATATATTATCCTTCCATGATAGGTCTTATTTAACAGGTACAGTCTGATGATTGCCAGTTGATGAGTGTTAAAAAGTGAAGAGAAAATAGCCTAGCCATAACAATAGGCACCAAAACAGCAAGATATAAACAATCCGGTTTATGATAAATGGAAACTACAATTTAAAGCAACAGGCAAAAGTCCCAGGTATTCCAGATATCCGGGATGAATAAAAATAAACAATTCCCTGACTTTCAATGTCTGGAATAGACATTTTAAAATTCCATGATAATCCAGAAACTCATTGAAACCCTGGCATTTGCTAATAAAATCCTCATTTGATGTTATCTCGCTGTAAATATTGATCTATGAAATCGTGATTCCATTTTTAATTAATTAAAAAACACATTTTATTAAATTAAAAACCCTAGTTTACAAAAGCTATATTGAAGTAAACATTTCGTAATGACATACCTGAGTGATTTTGCTTTGTACTGAAGAGACAATAGTGGAGGCCACTTGCTTTTCTTTCTCCTGAGAGCCATCCCTGTTTAACAAACAACAAGACAGACAGTGAGACAGCGACAGACAAACAGAGGTCTGCCAATTGGCAAGGGCTGTGAAGAACACCGTAATACAGTATTCATGACGAGTGGTGAGGACGTAACCACCACAGACATCTCAGGCTAAAACTGAGCGACCAGAAGAAGGTCATGAAATATTCACCCAATGCCGGAAGAGACACAACAACTGCACAAATAACACAAAGTCTGGAGCGAGACTCGTAGTGGAAGCTTAAAAAAGCAGAACGAAAAATAAAAAAATAAAAAAACAACTGAATGCCACGGGAGTTTAAAGCTACTTTTTGATGAAACTTGAGAAGTGAAAAAGTCAGTGCCATAACTGGGGTTTTCGCACAGAAATCTATCTGTATACAATATATATATTATGCTGTCAAAGATGTTTTACCTAGATATCATCATGGTTAAGCATCTGAAGGCTTCTTGCTTTATTTGACAGGTAATTAGTCAAGTTGTCAAATCAAACATAAAACCATTATTACTCTAAAATCGAAAAAGCTACAGCGCAGGGCGTCTCGGTGTCTCGCACACAAAGCTCTTGGCAAAGCTCAAATTAATATTGCAACAAAGTGGGTGAAAAATATGCTGGAAATCTATGATTCTGACTGAAGCAGGCTGAGCTTCAGATGGTGGGCGGCTCTCATGAGGTTCCCGCTGATTGATTGTTTAGTAGTAGGACTACAGTGATATGCCCTTTACCTGGATCTCCCCAAGCTGGAGGTGGGGCTGGTGGCAGGGGAGGGGCTTGCAGAGACTCTGCTCACGGCTCTGCCTCTGTTTGGAGACGCTGAGGGTGAACAGGAGGAACCCTTAAAATGAGATGACTTGGAACTCTTTCGCTTCTTTTTTTCATGAGGTGATCTAAAAATGAAAGAAAAGGAAAATGAGTAAATTAAAAACAAACATAGCTACAAAGTTGCTGCTAGCGTGAATAAGACATTGTGGATCATTGGAGCTTAAATGGCTCTAGTAAAAAAAAAAAAAAAAGAAACAAAGAAAAAAACAATCTTTTGTTTCTTCCTTAACTTTTTCCTTTGTTTTGCATAAAAATCGTCCATGCTTATCAGAACTACAGGTGATGAAACTTTAGCATTATCGTGCACTTCTTCGTGAATGCTTTAATTAGGGATTCTCCGATTGAGATTTTTGCAGCCGATACAGAGTACCAATTCCTTGTCATGGGGATCAGCCGTTACCAAGAACCATTTCTGATGCTTTGAGCTTTATAATGCATAAAGCACATTTTCACTCTAAGTATGATACGGTACTTAAGTGGAGATCTTGTCTTACCTATGAGAATAAATGAAAGATGATGCATTTAACTCCTTAAACATGCCTCTTATAAACATTTAGTAAGGACATGTAATGATCAGAAGCAGCTAATAGAAAATATTAGAAAAAGAGAAAAAGAATTGCTATAAAAATCCCTAACAAAGCAATTTGGAAATATGTCTCATGTCTCAATGAAGTTTGAAGCACATATTTGATGCATAAGAAAGCCTATAAACTTATTTTATTTAAATGTTTATTACAATAAGTGCATTACAATAAGGTATTGTATTATATATTTCAGAAAAAAATAATAATACATAATAATAAAAAAAAATAAAAAAAAATATATATATATACACAGTATATATATATATATATATATATATATATATATATATATATATATATATATATATATATATTTTTTTTTTTTTTGTAATATATCATCTGCTTGTAAACATGTAAACAAACACTTGTGATATGGTACAATAAATCGGCCAGATTAGCGATCACAGATAGAGTCATAAAATGTGATCATTGGCCGATACCGATCTCATCCCTAGTTTAAATGTCCGGTCTTTCTGTATTTTTACTTCACCTTTTTCTCTCTTGTGCACGGATTTCAAAAACAAGTTCAAAACATGAATCTAGAGTGTCATACTGTAGCTTTCAAATGATGCCTTGTTTTTGATAGATGGTTGAATAATTTTAATAAACGAAGGTAGTAAATTCTTCAGACACATCCAGACAGCCCGTGGGTTAACAGGTAATAAACCAGATTATACAAAAAACATACAGAGGACAACAATATTGATAAAAGCTCATATAAGAGTCCATTTTAATCACTGATAAATATTCTAAAATTCTTCCAGGAGACACTAATATATTAAAAATAAACATTTAATTAAAATGTTTTATCGTCAAAATAATGTTTCAAATTGTCACACATTAGTTTCTTGTCCTCTTTCAATAAATATGAGAGTGTAAGTCACTTTGAGTAAGTCATTGAAATGATCCACAAAAATGGAAGAAAGTCACACTTGTTTAGAATAACAAATAAATAATGCAAAGTACATAGTAGTCACTATTCTTGAATTATTCCATACATTCTTTCTGTCTAAAAAAAAAGTCTTATTTCTGGCAGCTCTAGGGACAGTGTATTGAAGTGCAAGTCGGTGACAAGCAGTGACACTGTGGCACAAGTGTGGAGTCTTAAAACATCCACACGTCCCTTCAGCAAGACCCCGAAATCCACCACTGCATCAGCAAGGGACTGAAATCGGCCAGTCACACAAACACAAGACACACCGTGAGTTCTCTCATGAGAAAAAGCACACAGGGACCTTTATCTCCGAGGCTGTCCTTGATGAATATTTCATTTAAATATACTGGGCAGGTCCTTTAGTGGAAAAAAAAAAATATAGTTTTAAAGGAGCACCCATATTCAGCTAATGGGCATAGTGACCTCTAATTACCTGTGCTAACTGTAGCAAAATGACAAGACATGTTGGGAGAGTGGATCAAAGTACTCCTAGGAGACACAGTGAGGTTAAAAATGTGCTACTGCGGACGTGCTTACAATTCTAAAAGAGACATAGTAACACAAATGACTGAATCAATACATGAAAATGGATCCAAGTTCACAGAATGACGGTGCGTGTCCTCCAAAGGGTTTTCTCCCAAGCTGAGTGTTTTTTTCTCTTCCTTTTGTTGTAAATTGTATGTGAAGTTTCGAGCACTCACTGTTTTTTAAATGCACAGACAGTTGAATAAGTGATTACAGATGAATATTTTTAGGAAAGGACTGGTGTTTTTAGCTGTGCAAAAAATGCTTCAGTAGACACGAACCCTTAAACCTCTCACCTACTGTATCTGACTGCAAGTTTAAGATCACATGCTACTTTACTGGATAGGGAGGCATTTTGAAGTTCGACAGTATTTCTCTGCATTCATTTTACACAGATGAGCTGATAACATTACGAGCACCTAGCTATAGTCAGAGTTTGAGCAGGTGAAATTCTGTAGGACGGTGCTGGGTAAAGGGGAGAGATAAAACAAGATGCAACATTGATGAAATGAGCTCCATATTTTACATTTCTGAACAGAAAGGTGACGTTTTAATCTACTATTGGTCTCATGTAGTACCATAGTGTGAATTCGCAGGTCCAGCTTCACCAAGCTTAAAATTTTGGAACGCAGTGAAATGTGAAACTTGCTGCACAAGCTAGCATTTCTCATCTGGCATATTTGCATGATTATCAATGGAAGTCAATGGGATGAAAAGTGCAATGCAACTGTGGCTTAGAGCTTAGATCGGGCGCCAAAAAAATGAAACTAGACCCTACCTGAGCCCAAGCACCTTGTGTCTGAGCCCGACCCACTCCAGCACGTTAACTGTAATTCTGATCCTGAGCCCGTTTTAAACCCGAGTTTTTTAGAATTTGTGTCCATTATAACAGATGTTCTCAACTACAATTCAGAGTTGTTGAAACTCGGAAATTAGTTTAGATTTATCTTAATGAATAATGTAACAAAGACAAAGCTTGTAAACTGCATTGTTTGTTTATTCAGAATGGATCGTAAAGGAGGACATTGAAGGCTTTTTTCTGCCATGGCAAGCCTGCTTCTTGACATGTCTGTTCATCTTGAAAGTCCCTGTTTTTACATGCTTTCACACTGCTAGTTGATCAGCGGTTGTTTTTTTTCCGCTGTCCATGTTAACAAATAAATGTTTGCAAGAGCTACAGCATTGTTATGCATGACACGCGTTGACAATTGTGCAACTTTGTAGAACTACACAGGTTGCTAAATCCGACTTTGCTATAATATTTGTATCATTTTTTACATTATGCCATAAGCTTCCAACCAATTAATTAACTGAATGATAAAAAATAAATAAATAAATAAAAACACAAATGCTTCATCACAGCCTGACCCGGCCCGAAGATAATGGCAGGAAATATTGGCTCGACCCAGCCCATGGTGTGGGCTTAGGCTCAGGCAGAGAATCTAAACTCTACTGTAACTTAATACATTGTTGGTCCTTCAAAACAGTAGCTATGTTTCCATCCAAAAATGCAAATTAACTTTATGCGCAAAACTGGATTATCACAGAAAAGATGTGTGAATAAAGCAGCGTTTTCATCCAACCAGTCAAAGAACAAAATAGCCACTTCCTGATTAACTGGCGCCAAATATCACAAGTAAAAACTTAATTTGTTGCTGTAGGAGAATCTTTTCTCCATTTAGTAAATGACTTGCACCTCAAAAGGCAATCCTGACACGCAGTGAACGTGTGGTGGTGTTTTAAGGCGTGGGACGCGGTGCACAGATGCTCTTGATTCTGGAGGTCATTAATAACATAATACCAATAATAGTAAAACTATTAGTAATAATACTCATAGTAGTATTAAGGTATTTAGAATGACCAAAACAACATTTCAGATGCTTTACAGTGTGCTCAGTCTGCTGGATTATCCATTCGCACATATTTTTATCATCACATGATCTCTTATAACAGAATCACATGACCTTTTTACAGTAAATGCGCAAACTGGAAATTGTTCAGTAAAAGTGTTTCTAATGCAGTTTATCTTTTCTTATCAAATAAAAAGTTTATCCTACTCAGATATGTGCATATGTTTTTTATGTGCATTTTTAAAATGTATGCACATCTTGGCGTTTTTATCCACCTATTTTTATGCACATATCCAAAATGTGCATAAAAATAGGTGGATGGAAATGTAGCTATTGACAACTTGCAAAGGTTCTACAAGACTCCTAAAGGTGTGCTGTGGTATCTGCCGTTTCCAGCAAGTTCTGTTCTCTTTCAAGTTCTGTAGGCTGTAAGGTGGAGGATTTTATTAGTACAGCACATCCAACAGATGCTCAACTGAATTGCAATCTGGGAAATTAGTGAGATGGTGCAACACCGTTAACTAATTGTGCTCTTCCGATTCATTGTGGCAGGGTGTTTTATCTTGTAGCTCCAACTTGCCTTAACACACCAGCAAGGAAGTTTCTAGAAAGCCTAGTAAATGCTTGATTAGCTAGTCCTGGGGTGTCTGATTGGGGTTGGAGCTAAAATCTGCAGGACACCAGACCTCCGGGACCGAAATTAAATACCCCTGGTCTAAAACATCAAACAGATGCTCAGCTAGTTTGGAATTTGAGAAATTAGGAGGATAGCGCAACATGTTAATCTCTTTTTATTGCATTCTTCAATCCATTGCGGTATTACTCTGCTCAAAGAGTCCACGGTTTTAAACATTTTAGGTAGCAGACGAGTCGTTATCAGACATTCTGATTGGTCTGCTGTTGCGTAGCTCCATATGCCGCAGGGTGGGATCCACTGTGTATTGCGAGACATTTCTCTTGTAACCACCATTAAAATTCCTACCACTGCTGACCAGGAGCTACCCACACACCTAGCCATTTCAGAAACACTCTGTGTTATGGCCTTGCAATAACAATTTGGCACTTGTCAAAGACACTCTAAAATTTATTCCTGTCCATTTCTCCTGCATCCAACACACTGATTACAAAAACTGATTGTTTGCTGACCATCTAATCAATCCAGGCCTTAATATCTGGCCTTGTTATGAGATGAATGACAACAAACTTATTATCAGGAATTTTATCTCACATATTATAAATACAAATATACAGTTTAAGTCAGAATTATTAGGCCCCCTTTAATTTTTATTTTATTTTATTATTATTTTTTTTAATAGAGCAAGGAAATTTTCACAGTGTGTCTGATAATATTTTTTTCTTCTGGAGAAAGTCTTATTTGTTTTATTTCGGCTAGAATAAAAGCAGTTTTAAAATGTTTAAAAACCATTTTAGGGACAAAATTATTAGCCCCTTTAAGCTATATTAGCCCCTTTAAGCTGTTAACCTTTAACCCCGATAATCTACAGAACAAACCATCATTATACAATAACTTGCCTAATTATCCTATCCTGCCTAGTTAACCTAATTAACCCAGTTAGGCCTTTAAATGTCACTTTAAGCTGTATAGAAGTGTCTAGAAAAATATCTAGTCAAATATTATTTATTGTCATCATGGCAAAGATAAAATAAATCAGTTATTAGAAATGAGTTATTAAAACTATTATGTTAAGAAATGTGTTGAAAAAATCTCTCTGTTAAACAGAAATTGGGGAATAATAATTCTAACTTCAACTGTACATGATTATGGTCCTCATCATTATCTTCCTGACTAACGAATCAGGCTGGAACTAAAAAAATTAGGTTGTACAGTTAAAATGTAAATGTAGTTGAATGGTTTATGTGTTTGTGTTTTCTAGAAATGTATGTTCCTATGAGAATTAAAAAAAAAAAAAAAAAAAAAAAAAAACTTTAGATCCGGAACTCGACCACTATATTTCTAAGACAACAGCTGCTGTGGGTTTAAGGCAGGCTCTCAGACATTCAATCTTGCATGCAAGTCTGGTTCTACATCTGAGATGCTTCTATCATCACAAACAAAACTTTGCTGAAGCCCTGAAAGTGATCTAACCATCTATGTCTGGCTCTGGATTTTTTTTTCAACTTCAGCTAGAAAGGGTCAAGGGTGTAATGAAAGATGCTGAGCTTTTTCTTTCCTTTGAAGGAGTTGTGTAAAAAGCTTGTCCTCACTTTTAGCATCCTCCAGAATATGGAGAAATGTCTCGGCTAAGCTGTGTGAGTATTGCAGAGAGTGGGCTGCCCAGATAAAGAGCAGTGACATAAAAGCTGGGTGAGATCTGAGAAGTCACCATGACCATGTCTTTCGGTGGCGCTTTAACACCTTATAGGTGTCTGCAAGAAAATAATGGTACGGCAGAGGAAACGGGAGAGGGAAGGGTGATGATAGCAGTGTCATGGAGTGGTGTCTTCAAAAGAAGGATTACCGTGAATTAAAAGATCATGCTTGGTGCAGACTCTGGGGAAACACCAGGAAAGCACTTTTTTGCCTACTGTGAAAGGCGACATGCATGCTGACAATCAGCCAAACCGCTCTCTGTGAGGATATATGGCAGGAGGGTTTAAAATGAGGCCTTATCACAGCTGCTGTTAATACAAACACATGTTCTTCCTGCTGTCATTACATTTGGAATTCTCAGCAGCGTGCCAATGAAAACAGACTACATGAGTTTGATTTTGCTGAATTTCTTTGATTACAAATACAGCAAAACAGGAATATTGGCAAAGGATGGATTTATTTCTGTGATCCAAAGCTAAATAGAAAAATTGAATTGCTCTTAAGGAGACAGTTCACCTAAAAATAAATCATATTTTTTTCTCTTTCGTGTGGTTCTAAAATGCTACGAGTTGTTTTCTTCTGTTCAACTCAAAAGAAGATATTTTGAGGAATGCTGGTTGATAGGACCCATTGACCTCGATTGTAGGAAAAACAATTACTAAGGATGTCAGTGGGTCCCAGGAATTGCCATTTATCAAATTATCTTCTTTTGTGTTTGACAGAAGAAAGAAACTCAAACAGCTTTTGAATAGGTGAAGGGTGAGCAAATGATGACACAGTTTTTATTTTTGTGTCATATTTAGTTACATATAATAACCCTGGGAATGTGTCAAGTAGTTTTTTTGTATCAGTTTTTGCATCCTAAAAAGAAATTTTAAAACTTTAAAATATGGTCTCATTGCTTTACGTAAACTACATTAACTAATTAAATAACAAAAAAACCTGCCTTCTACTGCATTTATTTAACATTAAAAATCAGTAAACAACGATTAAAATGAGTAAAGATTAGTAAATGTTGCAATAAGTCATTGCTTAATAATAGTTTGTTAATTTATTAAATAATGTTAATAAATTACACATTTTAAATGATATTATTTAACATAAAATTACAGGTGAAGTCAGAATTTTTAGCCACCCTGAATTATTAGCCACCGTTTATTTTCCCCCATTTTCTGTTTAACGGAGAGAAGATTTTCTCAACACATTTCTAAACATAATTGTTTTAATAAACATTTCTAATGACTGATTTATTTTATCTTTGCCATGATGACAGTAAATACTATTTTACTAGATACTTTTCAAGACACTTCTATACAGCTTAAAGTGACATTTAAAGGTTTAGTTGGTTTAATAAGGTTAACTAGGCAGGATAGGGTAATTAGGCAAGTTATTGTATAATGATGGTTTGTTCTGTAGATTATTGAAACAAATATGGCTTAAAGGGGCTAATAATTTTTACCTTTAAATGGTCTTTCAAAAAAATGTAAAAACTGCTTTTACTCTAGCCAAAATAAAACAAATAAGACTTTCTTTAGAAGGAAAAACATTATCAGACACACTGTGAAAATGTCCTTGCTCTTTTAAACATCATTGAGGCACTATCTAAAATAAGAAACCAAAAAAATCAGGGGGTGGTAATAATTCTGACTTCAACAGTACATAGAATTTTCTTATTGTATTTGTGGCAGATCATAGCAGTCCAAACAAACTGTCCCATTAAGCCTAATGTGTCTTAAAAACTAGACCCACCTCGATCTTGAGCGCTGCCTGCCCAGTGCTGGGTTGCTGCCAAGACGGTAGTTGCTGGGACCATAGCTCTCTTTCTCCCTCTCGTCACGCTTTCTGTCTGGAGAACGAGCCCGCCGGTCTCTGCGACTGGGGGACCGAGACTGAGACCTGAGACAGAACAGATTGGAAAGACAAAATGAGAAGACAAAAAAACATTGTCAGCTTCCATCTGACTTCTGCCCATGAAATCAACCCACAGGTTGAACTCATCGATAAAGCTGATGATGGTCCTCTACTCTCCATTAACTCCTGAAAAGCTTGCTGAGAGATGGAAAAAGTTCTAAAAACAACTAAAAAGGTCCTACAATTCGCAGCAAAGTGATGATTAAAAGGAACAAAAGTAAAAGACTAGATTAACAAAAAAGCTTTTATCTTTCTAGAAACAAGCTTCCTAAAAACATTTTTTTTTGATATATTAAGCGTAAAGAGCAAATTAATATGATATCCTCAAAATGTTAGAAAGCAATTATTTTTTGGTAATTCATACATGAAGTCCAACCAATTTCTAACATAGTAAATAATTCTACCAGTAATTGTTAATAAGGGACAATCAGACAATCTTAGATGTACATAGAAGCCCTAACCATAAACACGGAATCGAAGAAACTGAGAAAACCTGTGACCCTCAAAAATTTAAGGAAATTCAGTCAGGATTGTTCACCAGTGGAAGCCACCTGTGACCTGAGTGAATCTCAAATGGCATAAATGGTCATAAATGTCAAGAGTGAGGGCAGTTATTTCTGTAAAAGAAGCAGCAATTACCACATTTATAGCAGACTCCACTGACAGTAAGTACTGCAGGTTACTGTGGTGCTGTATTTGACACACACATCTACCCATCTTTCTATCCATCTATCTATCTGCCTGTCCGTCCGTCTGTCTGCCATCTGTCCATCCATCCATCCATCTATCTACCCATCTATTACTGTATGCCAATGGGGTACATCCACACAGACATTTAATTTTTAGACAGTTGGCCTAATGACTGGTCTCTCCATTACAAAATCACCATGTTTAAGATCTTTTTTCTTTAAAATAAGTGATCTTCACAGTCTGATTGATATATGATATAAAATGGGTCTCAGATCGGACAAAAATTACTGCGTTGAATTCCATTTTCACTGCCATCTCTTTAAAATATGAACAAAATACCCAGTATTTTCACTGGAGTTTCTGCGCTAGCCTGTTGACACTGATGGCACTAGAGTTTAAACAGTCTATCATCTTGTTTTGTGCTTGAACAACTAAATGAATGCTTAAATTAATTTAACTGATTGCATTTTAATTACATGTTAATTAATGGTTATTAATGTTGATGCTGTAAAAGAAACCATATAAAATTTAAAATAGTCACCAAAACCTTTCACCGGAAGTTAACCATTGGCTAAAAGACACAAGCTGTGCATATAGCCCATTAGCTGCACAATTTAAAAACAGAAGAAAATGTGAGTAATTGTAATAAGATGGGTAATTAATAACAGGACATGGATATAGCAGACTAGGAGTAATTTGAACTATTTTTATTTTATTTTATTTTATTTTTTTAATCTAAAAATTGTGGTTCTAGATAAATATATCTGCAAAACAGGGTTTAAAATGAAGCTTCTTCACTCACCGGCCAATTAGATAACAACATTTGATAACAATAAGGCCACCTTTTAAAACAACAAAAAGTAAAGCAAAAATAGTCAAAAAATAAAAAATAAATAAAAAATAAACTCACAACTTTGATACTTTTGAACTTTAAATATATTTAGCATTATATCTAAATTAATAATCTATATGACAAGCTTTATACAGTATTTGTAAATTCCCAATTTGTCAAAATTAATGTTTACTATTAAACATTGGATATTGAAGATTAGCTTCATATAAATATACATTGGATATTGACTGGCTGCCAATTCATAAATAATAATTACTTCTTTATTATTATTATTTTTTAATAACAGAAGTCAACATACACATATTAAAGCCTTTCCCCAATTGCCGTCCAATTAAAAAAGCCATCCTGTTTTCACTCCAAATACTGATAATGAAAATCATGCTCCAAAATGTCATGTCATGTAATAATGACATTTTTTTGTCTGCCATTTCGCCTAGCCTTTCTTTCTTTTACAATAATAATACCACGAAATAAGCATCACTGAACTCAGAAAAATGCTATTTAATGTTGTCGATTACATTCCAGTAATAACATGGATAAGCTCTTATTATCAGATGTGCATAGCTTTAAATTGTACTTAAAAGTAAAAAAGCAATGAAAATGTGTGGGTCAGGAACAGGCAGAGAGAAAAAAGCCCACAGATATTTATAGAGACAGGAAGAATAAAGAAAAACAGACATTAGATCTAATCATTATACTCAAATGCAAAGGTGTCAGAGATATGATTTGAAGAAGAGGAAAGTATTTTTTTCCCACCATAATATATTTGCATCCATTTATTATAATTGTGTCCAGTTTGAGTCTCATTTTCTGCTACACTGGACAGATACACTCATTAAAGATAAATTTGCGCTGGTGTTGACGCTTTAACTAGAGACGAGAGATGTCAGGTGTCAGCAAATCAAAACCAATGAGATGCTTAAATACTGACACCATTATTATTAGCAGTAGCAAAAATCTGTGGCACAACACTGGCCATCTTTGATGTCAGAAAACGGCGCTTTATAATTACTTCTGGACCTAGTGTCATCAATTCAAAGTCCATAGAGCCACTCACAGAGATATGGGCTTGTTATTAATGAAAACTACAAGAAAAAAACAGACCCAACATGATCAAGTTTGATTTAAACAACATATTAATGCTACATTAAGCTGTCCAAATGACTGGTTATCTTCATTTCTTTGTTGTATTACAATTATTGATCAAATAAAAGAGACATACTTCGCTAAATATAGTCAAATGAGGCACAGTCATTTATGAGGTCATTATAATAAAGATAAAATGTTATAAAACAGCCACTTTGCTGTAATTTAATTATAATAGAAACAATATTTTGCTGACATTAAGTGCACATTATCTAGCATTTTACAAAGACATTAAAACATTAGTAATCCTGCCTTACTCCGGCATGCATTCATCTTTCGAAGACACATTTTAGATGAAAACCAAGAGTTAGATAGCGTAGATACAGTAGCAATGAGAGGTTTAAAGTCCAGAAAAAGAACCAAAAACTGAGTCAAAATATTCAGTGAGTCTTCAGTGGCTCAAACGTAATCGCATGTATGTCCAAGGAAAAAACAAAACATAAATATGACTTGGTTCATCTATAACAGGGGTGTCCAATTCTGTTCCTGGAGATCTACCTTTCGGCAGATTTCAGCTCCAACCCTGATCAAACAAAACTAGACCAGCTAAGGCCATGTTTACGAAAACGCCTACATCGCCGTGTCACCAAGTGTTTTTGGAAAGATCTCCATCTACACTATACCACTGAAAATGCACATCACTTGACCACACTCACACTCTGGCATGCGTTGCAGCGAATGCGCACGTTTGAGCCCCAGGCAGTCAGCGGGTGCTTTGAGCACAGCTCCCCAGATGAGAGCATATAGCATGTCGGACCAATCACCAAGGACCATCCATTGGATTTTATGTCACTATAGTCTTTAAATTCTATAGTCTTTAAATTACATGTTTAATTCATTTTGTCTTTATCTAATGACTTTAGATAACCTGTTTCAGGTAACCTGTTTTGGTTGAGCGTAAAGAAAAGTTCATAAATAAATTTATTTAACCACTTACACTGATTCTGCTTATTTGACTGATTGCTTGCCTACATTGTATAAACTTATTGTACATTATACTTTTAATAATGACCATTATTGATTATTAAAACTGATAGTGAGCAAAAGAGAGGGTATGTTTCATATTTTCAATGAAATTAAAAGAAGACAGTTATGTTATAGGCTCCGTTTTGTTATAAATATGCAAACAGTGAGATGATGCTCATATAAATATGTAGTTACACGACACCTCAGCATTTTAGTGTCTAATAGGTTGCTAATATCAAAATAAAAATAGGCAGTTCTTTATATCATGTTTTCATTGTATTGTTAAGATAGTGAAACGATGTAGCCTGGGTGATGTGAATAATGTTAAGTAACTTACACTGTTCCCTTTGAAGATTTACTCAACATGTTCTCAGGAGTTTGTTTTCAATATCAAACTTACTGAACTTTGTGCACTAGCTTAATATTAAGGAAAAAGCACCAATCAGATAGACGAATGTCTGCAGCCACCCCTCTGTTTTCAGATGTCTCAAGCTGCGTCCCAAATCGCATACTTATGCACTATTCTATGCCATTTTGTAGTATAAATAGTGTAAGTAGTGTGTTCACACTGAAAACTCTAAAAATATTAAGTGCACTTTAATTACCCGGATGATGCACTCATTCAGGAGGTAAAATGAAGTGTGGAATGATGGACACTTCACGCACTCAACGACCGTAGGTTTGATTACGTAGCGGAAGGAGCGGAGCTATCGGGCGCACATGTTGGATAACTTTAATTATTTTGTATTGTGAAAGCAAAATTCTCCTACGAGAGTGATTATAGCGCCTCCCGATGGTGAATGCGGTTATTCTCACGGCAGGTATTATTTGAAAATTCGGTCGTATATTTCACTTACATGGCAACCGTCAAACGTCATCAGGGAAACGGTTTGAATTTCCACTTAGTAAAAAAAACATTAGTGTGCCATTTGGGATAACACTACATACATATACTATCCTGTTCAGTGTGTAAGTGCATACATACATAGTGCATGAGTGCATAGTGTGCCATTTGGGACGCAGCTCCAGTTTTCCCCCATCCACACTATAACGAAGCAGCCGTTTTCTAAAATGAAAATGGCCTTTTCAGCGTTTTTATAATGCTACATTTACAGGGCTCGAAACCTCCGGGGTAGTGTGAACAGAAGGCGTAACCGCAGCAAAACGTATGCGTTTTAAAACGAAAACGTATTAGTGTAAACAGGGCCAAAGTCAGACCTAAAGTAGAAGTTGGTAATTACAGACAGGTGTGTTTGATCAAGGTTTCAGCTGAAAACCAGGAAGGTAGATTTCCTGGAACAGGACTGGGCACCCCGGTCTATATCTTCTTTTTGGCAAGAGGTCAGGGTGTGCATTTTCTACGGGCAGTAGAATGTATTCCCATTCGAGTCAGGAGTGCAAGATACAAACAGCATTTTTCACACACAAACGGCATAATTACGCAGTTGTAACATTTTTCCTCCCACAAAATTGTTCAAAAAGCTTTGTATAATTGCATTTGAAGCACTGAATTTGCATGGAATTTTTGGACTGTTTTTGGTCTCTTTTCTGCACAAAACACCAGTGTTTCCCAAGTGAAATGGGGTCACTAGCATTTTTGAAACACTTTTTCATGTTTTCTTGGATTGAGAATGCCGGAGCCGTGTAAATGCCAGGAGTGACCATAACAGAACATTAACTTTTTTAAAAACAAAAACAGACTAGTTTTGTTGTCACAATAATTTAATTCAGTATCAATCGATACACCACTGATTTCATTGTGTTCACATGCTCAACAGAAATTACTGTGATTGGTCGTAAAGGTCAGTTTCACCGCTGTTTACGGAGTGTAAACATAGATAAAGGAACACTGGAGTGTTTTAAAGTCACATAGATCAGTCAATTCATCAGTGGATTACTCGTATGTCAGCTCTTACACAGAGCAGCTGATCTTCATGGCTCAAATGTTAACGGAAAATGGATGTGTTTAAAATCTTAGTACCAAACTCCAATATCATGACGACACTACGCACTAGTAAAAACATACCCTATTCATGTCATTCGGACTGCACTGACAGAAGAAATGTAATATTCACAGGGCACAAAACCACTTACTCTAAAAACCTGCTTCCAATGTTTGAAAACTTGACATGCACTACAGTTCTCTTCCTCAACTCTCTCAAGCCTACATGACACAAATAGTTTATTAAATTCCCCTCAAGTTTGGAATCAGCTCACAAAGAGCGGCAATTACCAGGGAAGAGAACAAAAGGTGACAGCTGAACTCATTTCCTGTGCTGAAGTAGCGATGCTCAGGCACACTTGACCAGGACTCATTCTGAAAGCAAGCATACCTGCTGTAAAGCAAACACACGTAGACTGAAGGCCCTCCACTGCTCCACAGCAATCAGGGAACAAGGTCAACGGCACAAGATCACGTGTCTGTCTTGAGAAACGTACGTGTCTAAGCTTGCTAATGACACAATTGTGGAGAGAGATGACAGAGGAAGGCGTAGAGCCGCTGCAGATGCTCTCATTATCTCAGGTCATCTGAGGACTAGTAGAAAAGGGCAACACTGATGGGGCCGTTCCCAATGAGAAATTAACTCCAATGTGGGACGATCTGGATTAGACGGAGAAGATGGGATTGTCATCTTAATGCAGACGCTGCAGTCTGCGCAGTGGTGCGGAGCCTACGAAGTAAGCGGATGAACTGCAGTTCAATAACAGAGGAATAAGAAAACCGCTAGGGATAGGAAGATTTCTCATACAGCTCTTAGCTGGAGAACATGGCTAAAGCCAAGGCGATATCTACAGAGCCCACGGGGGCTCAGCCAAACTAGATTAGTAGTCTAAGAAGAGCTTCAGCCCAAAACTCATCTCAATCTCTCTCTCTTGCACCGACACAAGATTTATTCCACAAATATACAGAGAGAGAGAGGCCATTTCTTATCTGGAAGAAGCAGTTTTACTCCTTCCGATATTTCACCTAGCAGGTTCATCTGAGATACAGCCTCACTTTTTGCCCTTGTTTGACAAGTTTGCATGGAAAATAACAGTGGAAAAAAAGATGAGGAGATGGAGAGTGACAAAAAAAAAGAAATGGAGGACTTTTAAACACTAAGTGATTTAAATCCTGGGGCTGAATTGATTTAATCTCCAGAAATTATATTATGGCGTGTCAGGATGAGCGTGATGAGAGGACTGTAATTACTGCAACTTCAGCAGCAGATAATGACAAATCAGCCTTGATTTCCCTATAAAGAGGACGTATTTAAAAATGAGGGGCAGGAGAGGGAGGAACAAAAGTATAAAGGTGGGGTACTGCAATCCTGCTTTACAGTTTGCATTCTTCTTTCAAACAGGAAAAGGTATGTGAACCTGTGGATTTATCTTTGCTTTTTCATTCAAGGTTATCTTATTCAACACTAATTTAAAGGCAGAGTTCACCCTAAAATGGTAATCACTATTTACTCATCCACATCTCAAGTGTTTAGTTATGAAAAGTTTTCAAAAATATTTTTTTTTGTGCAAAATTTTGAGTAAATGATCAAGAAAAATACATTTGTTTATCATTAATGCCTTTAAATCTGAGGCTTCACAAACTTTTTTCACTAATAACTAAAAACTTAAGGATCGGGTCACGTTTTATGGCCAATGTATGCAAATGTGATTTCATGGTAATCCCTAAGGGTGCAAACATTTTTTTTTTCTCACATTAAGGTAATTCTGTGTTTAAGAAGTGAAGTCAGCACCGACTAATTCCAACATTTAAGCCCTGAAACCACATTTTACATTTAACTTAAAAGGCCACTTAGATTAACATATTCTTGGATTGGGTAAAAAAAAAAACAGGAAAGGCAGTTTAAAAACGCAAATTTCAGTAAAAGTAGCCCTCGGCATGGGAAATTAGCAATTAACAAGCGTTTTTTTAACAGTTTAAATCTTTTCTGGAAACTTGTTACAACCCCCGAGCCAGTACCTGGATCTCCTGAAGGTGCGGTAGGCACTGGGCAAAGCATGCTTGGTTTTGGATTTGGATCGGGAGCGTGACCGAGACCTGCTCCGGGACCTTCTCTTGTGTTTCTTCTTCCGTTTATCCCGGTCTCTATCTCGATCCCTATCCCTGTCTCTGTCCCTTTCAGGCCCACGAGATGAAGATGAGGAGGTAGAGGTGGTCACATGGGAAGCAGCGTTGTTTAAGCTCCTAGTTAGTGCATTTTCCAGCGGCTCGTAGTCAAAGCCTGGTATACGACATGTGTGTTGAAGAAGACCACTTATAGGCAGGATGGAACCCAATGGCTGGAAAGACACGACAAAAGAAGAGGGATTAGACACATGAGACCTGACGCACAACCGAGACAGACACATGAAAGAAACCAGCATTTTAATGAGCAAAATCCAATCAGCCTGCTTTCTCTGGACAATATTACAACACATGAGATGAAAGGTGGTCCCAGTGGCTTTCAAAATTTGCGCATCTGCCCCAATCAATAGAGCCTCAACTGGCTTTGAGCGCTGTCCGGGACCATAACCAATTTAGAAAGGTTTTTGCCATCATTGTAAGTCTGCATGTGAAAGAAAGCAGTGTTACTGTGTATGTGGATGGCTCCCTAGAGCTGTGCCTGAGTCTTTTCCCCTCGTAAGTCCTAATAGCTCCTCTTTACTCCTTCCACCCCAGAAATAGCACTAATTAAAAATACTGGTTGTTTCGCAGTATAACATGGGTCTGGCAGAAACATAATTGGCCATTCTCTTCTGTCGTAATCACTTCAATATGAGTCTGTCTGGTTAAATGAGATCCCCTCTGCTGCTGGATTCACATCAGAAATGGAATTTCATCAATCAATGTTTCGGCTCACGCCATCGAAACCACATCTGCGGGTCTCGGTTCATCACACATGAGGAAATAAAAAGTCTATTTTATCACAGAGTAGAAAAGACGATAGACAAGAGTGTGCGCTGTGCTCAATAAAGCCAGGCTCAAAGTCTAAGGCCTACCGGTTATAAAAACAGCTCTGGAGAGCTTAAACTGAACCAGGACGCAATATCATCCTGAAGTATTTTTAAACATGTCCCAATTAATCTTGAAATAGTGTTCTTCACTATCTCAGAACGTCTCATATGTAACAGATAGCACTGCTCAGGGGAGAGGGTGTTGGATAAGGTGCTGTAGATTAGCAATTGTATTCAATTTGATAACTTTCTAGCTGGAGATACACAATGGCAGGCAGGGTTAGGTTTGATTTTAGGGGCTTTGGGTTGACATTTAGGAAGATAATCCCCAGAGGAGAGCATAGCACAAGTGTCCGGTCTCTCCCATCTGTTTTTAAAAGATAGGAACAAAGTGCCCTCCAAAATATCGAGCGCACTTTAGCCACCATAATCAGGCATGTGTATATTTATACAATATCTGAAGGAAATTTACCTGAGCATTGACACAGGAATACTTACTGCTCCAATTCAAAGAAGTGTCTAAAATATTTTGATTACTACTACCAATACTTTGGTGCTATCTTCTAGACAAATTTATGTGATTATTCAGCTCTGAATTGGCTAATGCACTGGTTCTCAAGTTGGGGTTACATAAAAAATATTATATGGTTGTTAGACTGTTATTTTTTTTGTGTGCTGTCAATATGTTTGTGTTTATATAGCCTCCGGCACCCAGACTGTAGCTCTGCACAGGAAGTTTGGCCAGAGGAGAAATGGTCATGCCCAACTGAGCCTGGTTTCTCTCCATTTTTTTTTTCATCACTTTCGTCAATTGGTAAAGTTTTGTTCCTCGCCACTGGCCTGCTTGGTTTGGAACTTGTGAAGCTGTGATTCGATAGATTTGCTCTTTAGTGTTTGGACAGTCAGCAGTGAAATTTAAACCACACTAAACTGAACTAACTGAACTCTAAGAACTGGACTGACACAGTTTCAATTTACTAGAACTTCTATGTTAAGCTACTTTGACACAATCTACATTGTAAAAGCGCTATAGAAATAAACATGAATTGAACTGAGACGAATATAGGCCTATTAGTGTGTGTGCATCATTAGAATGTTTGTATATTTTTAACCACCTTCAAGTATGGTGGGAGGGGGATGTAATTAACTGGAATTGTTATTTTGAGGGTCGTGGCATGAAAAGTTTGGGAACCACTAGTCTAATGCACTGCTAATTTCACTAAAAAGCAATTGTGCAACATGCTGCATGACTTAAATGCAAACTTCCAGGTACCAATTCAGAAAATTTACCACAAAAAGTTTAGGGTTAGAGGTATGCTGAAATACATACATCAAGGTATAAGTGATAGCGACGCTTTCCTTATTAAGAACCACCAAGTACACACTCACAAAGAAGAGCGGAGAATGCCAGGTCAGCAAAGTGAAAGAACTTAGTCATGGCGCATGTTAATAAGGAGAAAGTGTTTGTCCAAATCCCCACAGCATGAAAACCAGCTGCTGTTCTGCTACTGGAACTCTATTAAGAAGTTCAAGTGAAAGAGAGAGTGGGAAAGATTGAGTGAGAGTAAGTGGTAGCAGGAGACACACAGCAAGGTCTTACAATTCATTTCTTTTTAAATGTTTTCATTTGGGTCCTTCACACACAAAACGGTACAAATCACAAACCAAAGATTGCATTTGTCATCTTTCGATCAATGATTCGGACACGAATGGGGTTCGTTCAGCCTCAGACTGTGACTAAAGCAAATCAGGCTGGGTAAAGAAATAAGCTGTGAGTGGTGGTTCGCTCCGACAGCTTTATGGGTTAAGCACAGCATTACTTGTTCAATAAAGACTCTAGAGGATATGTGAGTGCAATGTGGGTCTTCCGCTTGCCTAAGAAAGATATTAGCTTCTAATGGGTCAAATTCTGCTATTTAAAATTGTGACTTTTAAATTGATTATCTCATCATTAAATTATATTGTAAATAAATCTCCATTTTTTATATTCTTGATAATCCACTGACTAAATTGGAGAGCTATCACCAAATCAATATTAAAAATAGCAATTATGAAAAATACTGTACACATTGCTTAGTTTTTCATAACAGTCCTAACTAAAATCAAATAACCAATTTAATGTTACATTTTACAATTTAAATAATAATACTTAAAGGTGCAGAATGTAAGTTTGACACCCAGTGGTTGAACTAGGCATTGCATTCCCAGATCAAAACACACGCAAGCGCAGGTTGCCAGATTAAATGCTGATTTCAGCATAGACTAAATGCCGATTTAAGGCTGATTTAAATCGTGTCCTAAATAAAAGCAACAGTACACAATAGAAGAAATATTTTCAGAATAAAATGAGTTTTTGTCCTAACTAATACCTGGAATTTATATCTTAGAAACGGCTTCAACATTTTGCAGCTGAACAGAAAACTTGATGACATGATGACCTGAGATAAACCTCATGTGCTTTATTCAGTGTTAAATATCACAAATATTCAGCGGATAATGTGAGCTTGAATGCCATTTTATATGACATTTATTGCCACACTAGTGAAAGCAGCAGCAGATAGTTTATGAGATTTCAAAAATAAAATAAATCATTTAAAATTGAATTTTAGGACTGAAATAATACAAACCATTAAATATCAGTGATTCAGCCTGTACATTTATTAAAGTTACAGTGGTTTAATATATATATATATATATATATATATATATATTAAATTATGAACCTTACTATTTTGTGAGTACATATTCTGTGCTTTTAAATATCTGTGTTAAAATTTTTGTTGTGTTTCATCAGGTGCAAACAGCCAAATTGCTTATCACTGCTTATCTCATCACAAAGCGTGTTGTTAGGACATGCGGTTACAATGAAAGCTGCTCACCTAATGTTTACGATCGTAATATTTATATTATTTGCTGATTAATAACCTCATGTGGTACTCTGAATCTGTGTCTCATTTTGGATTCTGCTACTGTCCACCTGAGGTCGCATTTCGGTAAAAAAAGCATGTTTTGGGAGCCTTTCTGACTGAATGAATGAAATATGCTGTTTTCCACCAAGGCAATCCGGTGCTGAAATATAATTGGTTAAACTGGTATTGGGTGGGTTAAAAGGACCAATACAAAGACAGCGTTCCAGCAGGTAACGCACATTTTCAAAGCAGAATAACTGACTTATACTGTTTTTCAGATAAACAAGAATGTTCACTTCGCATGTTTCTTAAATATCAGCAAACATATTATGGTGTTTTTTATGCTTTAGATGAGTCAAAAACATACATACAGCAGCTTTAAACTCAAATAATTTTTAAATATAACCACATTACCCTTAATATATTTTGCTGATTTTTTTACTCTGAATAAATCCTGAAAAACTACAAAAACACATAAATAATTTCTATATCAAATTTCTATTTAAACTAAGAAAATGTTTACTTCTGAACATTAAAATATGAAAAAACACATTTATTTATACAAAATAAATTAATGATTTGCATATCAAATTCTAATTACATATTAATTGCTTAAATACTTTTGAATGCTCACTAAAGAATAATAAAATATAAAACAAAACACACAAATTAAATATATTACAAATTTCACCACTGTTAGATGATCAAAGACAATGAGCCACATCCTGACAACTAAACTAAATGAGTTGGTACCTAAAATCTGAAGAGCAAAATACAGAGTCATTAAAACTACGGTGCTAAATTCATCTGCTCCATCTGCAGAGCGAAGTGCGCAGCATATTTAATCCATCTGTTCTTCGTACTTGCAGAGAAAAACAAACTTAAGTGGGGTAAATTGCTCCTATTTAGTTTCTCAGGAGACACTGAAGTTTTTTTTACAACAGGAATTTTGTTATTTTTCTTTAAACCATCTCTACTGGACAGAATATGTTTGGACTGACAGTTTGAAGAAAAAGTCTAGCAGGATATACCTCAGGTGACAGTGTGCAATTATAGCCAGCAACCATTTCCCTCAATAAATATTTTTTTCATTGTAAACACCCGATCCAGGTCACAAAATGGGAAAACGTCATCAAAAGAAGAGTAAGAAGATCCATCATTCTCGAGTTTTGACACACAATCGCCTCAATCATAGAGTTTTTCTACACGAGGCACGATTCAGTGTGTGTGATGAGAGCCATTTAAATGCATGAGCAGCACTCTGGATAGTCCGACTCAGTCTCTCTCCTATAGCCAGCAAAAGCACAGACACCTATTTTCATTCAAATAACGACACCTAGAATGAGTCTCTTTGATCTTGGCCAGTTTACTTTCTGGGATTCATCGGAATACACAGCGACTCTGGCACAGACAACTAGCTGACACTCAGCGCTACGC